ATGACAGGCTAAATAAGTATCCGATGTTGTTCAGATCAATGACATTGGAAACTATTTCAAGTATTAATAGTTTTGTCTGCAAAACACAGCGCTGAAAGGTGTCTGTGTGGCAGAGATTAAATCATGTGAAGGGAAACTAATTAACTTTCTTCGACCCGACTCCGAAATGGAATGAGGAGAGGAAAGTAAGACAAATGCTCAGTGGACCACAGCTCCAATGTTTGTTCAGTGTTCGAACTAACTCATCATCATCATCTTCTTAATCCGTCCCATCGATCCATGTTTCCTCTCCATTGTCTACAAATTGGTAATGGAGAAGTCGACGGACCCCAACAGCTCCCTCCTGGATACACCAAGCTCGGTCACCTTTTTGTCCACTTTTATCACTGACGGAAAACCCGAATGACACTTCTATGTTTGTGTGTGTGTGTGTGTGTCTGTGTTCACCAATTCTTTTTTTTCTCCTTGGGAAGTTGTTTGTATTCAATTGCATATACCTATTGTTCATATCATAAGCCCACTTTTCAATGCGTATTTATTTTCCAACCACCAGCCTTCACTGGAAGTAAAGAGTACATCAATACTCAGACTCCTTATTGTCTTTTTCTCCCACTGAAAACAGAAGGCTGTGAGCCTCCTGGGGCAAGTTCTTGTGTGCGATGAGAAACCATTGACTCCTCCGTTTGTAACTCTGCCGTTATTTCTCTTTTTAGCGTGTTGCGGTTTTCCTTTGACGATCACGGCGCGTCCCTCTTGTTTCAGGTGTCTTTTCCTCATATCTTACCGACCGGGTCCGCCTGTGTCTCGTTGACTCAGCCTCCCCGTGCGTACTTAAGTAGTGTGCGCTGCGGGATCAGATGCCAGCTCGTCTTCTACCATTTCCCCCACCAGCACGGCTGTTGCTGGTCCAGTTACTTTCAAACAGAGTCTACGATCCTGTTTTGCTTTTTTTTTTTTTACTTTTGCCTTGTACCCAATTTGTGTAACAAACGTTGCCTGTCCTCGACCAAGTGCCCCCGACTCGTTCTCTTATGTCCCGCGGTTACACGTTGGCAAAAAAGTAATTTGATGATGCAATTTGGGTGCAATTCATAACACGGTTTTAGTAAACTACATGGTGGTGGCTGGAGAGTAAGATTAAGACACACAAAATTAGCCAAATGGTCTTAAACCGAGAGTCTCGTCCACTCAGTAAAAAAAAAAAAGTTCTTAGTAAAGTTGGCCTTATTAAATAACGGTCTTGATTTTGCAGAAAATCCACTTGAGTCTATTTCTCTCACAATAATTTTAGAGTTGGGATGTTTTTCTTTTTGACCAAACAAAGGCATCAACACAGTAATTTCCAGTTGGATAATAAATCACTTCTACCCCGGAGACATTCAAACACGGCATGTGTGATGGATAGCCGAGCCGTTAAAATGTGAAAACGCACAGTTTGGAAGGAGACAATACAGCACCAGAGTCTATGCCAAGAGGCACTTTGCCATTATGAAACTACCCATTATCTTGAATAATAATCTCTAGGGAAAAGGTGATTTAAAATCACGTCGCTACGGGTGACGAAGATGATAAGCGCCATGATAAAATCCCTCTGTTTGTGATATAAACACAGGGAAGCCAAACTATGGGTAAACACAATCTGTTTGCCCAAATGCCAAGAGGAAGCGAAACGAGTACAACTATGTTTCAGTGGCTGATGATAGAAAAATGACACAAGTGGATGTCAGGGAAAAAACACAAGTAGATACCGTGGCACAACATGCGAGAAAAGGCCCGTCAAAGTAACAGAAAAAAAAACGTGATAAGCACATAAAGAACAAGTTTTTGAGCGATAATGGAGTGAGGTGATTATGTAGTCGTATCATCCCACTGGGCTGGTGGAGTTGTGGTGGGCGGCAGTGAAGGGTTGGGGGTGTTGGGTCGGGAAAAAAAAGCAGCAGGGAATGGGATCTTCTCTTCTGGGGTAAATTGTCTGTGACTGCATTGCGTGTCCATCATTTCCCTCCGCGGTCTAATTGCAGTCGGTTCCGCCCGGCTGCGCTGCTCTCTCCTCCTCGGTGCACAACCACGGTGACACGCGACCGCACTGAGATGAGTAGTTAAAGCGGGAATAATTGCTGTTGTAATTCGTCAACACTCAGCTGTTCTCTATTTAAATCCGACTAAATAAGCAGCTTCGTTTTTCATTTTTGTTGCGAGTAGTTTCACAATTACCGTGGATGTAACGGGGTGAAATAGCCGTTCACTTTTTCTTCTCCACTTTCCGTTTTAACCGCGAATAGGAGCATCGACCCTTTTGGGTTGTGTGAAAGAGAGACCTTGAATGCGTAAATTTCTAATGCGCAACAACATAGAGGCTCATACTTTATTGCTCCTTTCAACCGTGACAAAGGCACTGCAGACCTTCACTGTTTTCCAGAAGAAAAGCGCATTTGGCTTTGAAACTCGACTAAATATGGAACGGTAGCTGAGGCTATACAACAATTTTTCGTCTGATGGACTCTGGGAAGCTATGTCAGTGGGTTTCTGGTACTTAGTCCGCTGCATGTGCAAATCTATTCAAACCTTTTTTTGAAAAAGCTTGGAACCATTGCAAAAATGCATCACAGCCAATATTAAAATACCTTTTTCATGAAAGATATTTGCAGACGAGTAAATCATATTTTTTTCGCCTATCGTCTCTTGGTTTGAAAATGCATTGAAAGGATAAAGGAAGCTCTGTCCAGTGTTCTTCCTCGCTTTAGACTACCATTGCTGGTAAATCTGCCACCATTGTCATTATAACATGCAAATGTGATGTGTGAGAAGAGAAAGACAGACAGGTCACTTCATCTGGTCTTTTTCTTCTTCTCCATTGAGAATCATTATCTCAAAAAATGTCTCCAGATCTAACTGAAAAACACATCACTATTGAGAGTCCCCCTCTTCACCATCTAATGAGAGGGATAATAACATTTTCTTCTTCCATAAAAAATAATGATGGAGACAGAAGCTGAATATTGTAACTGTAGGACTAAATCAAGCAACAAATTCTTGCCTTCAACTCTTACTTTCCCTTATCCTCGCGCCTGAAACTCATTTAAAGGCTGTCATTCAGACTAGTTTGGAAATCATCCTGAAATAAAGTCCTCATCAGTGTGAGATTAAGAAAACCATATAATGGGGTTATTTGAAGTGAAAAGCAACAACTCAGCAGAGCTGTCAACAGGTGTTCATGCTCAATACAGAAGCATGTTAATGAACTGCAGGTGAGAAACGCCGGCACACATTTACACATCGCAACACTGTGGGAAATAATTAGTCAGCACAATAGCTTTATAATTTCAGATTCAAAGCCTAATTGCACAACAGGGGTTGGTGCTCAGAATTACCCCCTTTTGTGGTCTCATTAGTAAGAATAGGTATTCATTTCAGCCAGCTATGACACCCAGAACCACTTCAGTTGAATAACAAGGGATCCACATGAGTAAGTGTCTACATTATAGACGCTTCACCCTTCGAAACAATAATCAACTCATTACAAATTCTGACAAATACGGGTATGGGTGTAGAGATTTGAGTGGTGACAGATAACCTCCTTTCAAAATTAAGCTATTTCACTAATTTAACAAGACATGCATGACTGTGTGCATGCTGTGCATTGGTAATCCGTCTAAATCATGTCAGTTTTCATTTGTTGCCGAAAGCAGAGAACATTTTGTGACGGTGTTTGAGGATAAAACACAATAGGCAGAGGATGTAATGAAGAATGACCAGCATGAGAGCTTCTAAGTGTGGCTACCACAGCTGTCCGTCAGAGGAGGCAAAATGGCAATAAAATGAACGGCATCCTTTTCAAGACATGGGCAACGGGTCAATGAGAACTAGCAGCTCAGAACCTCTCCACCTGCACAGGAAACCTCTCAGCTGTCTTCAAGATTTGGACAAACAAGGCAAGGACTTCCCCGAAAGAGAGCCAACCTTCATGGCGTGGCGCCACTTTAAATTCAAACAGAAAGCATTCCAGGGAGATATGCTACATTTAAAAAAGTAAACATCTATTAAGGGATTTTCTTGTGAGGACCGTCGGGCTCAGTGGCAGAGAATCAAAGAGACGACGTGCACTGTATGGGAAATAAATAAATGCCAGTTGACAGTCACAGCGAGTCCGTTTCTCAGCTCGTGTTTGCTGCCCTTTTCTGGCTTATTAATCATAAAATCTGAGTGAGCAGAAGATGCATTTATGGTGTTGAGGACAGTCTGAGATAAGGTTTCCTGAGAGGGATGAAATAGCGCTCTAACTGTGGGAGGTGAGACAACAGAATCAAGTAAGCATTTAATAACCTGAGCGCATTTCCAAATGAAATAGTGCCACGTGAGACATTTATTGCTCTGAACCTTAAATTATCTACGGAGCCGTTTGGAAGTCAGATTTCCGGCCTGTGTGAGTGAGGACATATTTTATGGCCCTCTCCTCCACTTTCCGGCTTGGGGATTGGATCTGGTGATATTACACAGGCTACAAAGCTCATGTGACCGTATTAAGTTTGCGAGACAAACAAATGACATGCTACGTTAGGCTTCCAGGTCGGGTGTTGGTGACTCTATACACTCCTGGTCCTATGATTCAGTTAGCACCACAGAACTGTTGGTGTCGACCCGGGGTTTGATATGAAACACGCCTCGGCTTAGTTATGATTCACTCATGCCAAGTATTGGCCACCCAAGCAGTACGCTCATGTTGGAATACTATGAAATTGAAAAAAAAAAAAGTATAATCAGTATGGAAAACATGTATTTTTCAGCTACCCAATCACATGAACAAGAAGCTACTTCGCGTTTGTGTTCATTTGAATCTGATTCCAATTTGGCAGCTTTATGTATAATCCTGTGTGGAAAGGGGCAACGCATATCAAGGATATGACCTTTGGTTGGTTATGCCAATGAACTAACCTACATCACTACGTCAGTGGATAAAACACACCTGTCAATCATGTCCCACTGCAGTCATTTCCAGCTGCAACCATTCAACCTGAGCCAATTTGCTGTGCCATTATTTCCCTTTACCCACCATGTGACACTTTTGTCAGCAGGACTATAACTCTTAGACTAATTGATGCGTGGTCAATAAAACGTAAGTCTAAGTCTAAGTGATGGCTGCCTCTGTTCCAACAGTAATGCGGATACAAAATTGGAACTAAGGAATTTGTTCAGGATTTTTGTAGCGATTAGATTGGGTGACATGAGATGATGGAGTGAGAAAGGTAACTTTCGGTCTTCTTATTTACTAGAGTAGAATTAGTATTTTCTTGTGTCTCTCAACCTTAATTTTCTCATGATCTTTCGCTACATTTCTACGTCACCGACCTGTCTGCATCTTTTTCTCTCTCCTGGTAAAACCGCAGCTTTTCAACCACTTTTGCTCTTTTCATCCATAAACTCCCATGACCGTTGTAATGGTCCCTCTTACTCACGCAGATATGTACGGCATGAGGACGATAAGATAATAGCCGTATATTTTAGACATGCTAGAATGATGAATTCTGAGGGGGAATTATTTAAATATCAGTGATTATAATCTCTTCAACTCTATCCAGTCGGTTTAATGGTACAATTAACATACTAATGTTACTAATCTGCATTACGCCACATAAACACGGGCCAAGCATTAAATACTGCCAAATGTTTGTCATTCCTGTCCCTCTCTGCTGGAATTTAGCAGCAAATTCATTAGCTCCGTTCAGCGGGCACACTGAGGCATTGACTCTTGCATTATGTAGTCTTGGTGAATCCATTAACAGCGTGACACCGAGGCGTTCCTGTCACTGGCTCCTCACATAGGAGCCCATCAGATCAAATCTCATCTTCTCTGTTTTTCGTCTGCGGCAGGTGCAGCAGAAGAACCAGCTCGACACCGTTCATTGCTGCTGAGTCTTGCCGAATAAGAGATTTTCAAATCTTATTGGATCCACTTGTGTGGCGAATCGCACTGCTGTGCAAGCGAGGTGAATGCACACCCAAACCCAAACAACCTGGACACCTGGCAGGATGGGAAATCCAGGCAAGAATCCATCAGCCATTACTGGTATGGGTTGTTTCATTGCTAGTAAGTTGGATTGATTGTGCGAGTGAATGTGTTTGGATGCTTTAAAAAGGACAAATAATTTTTTGTACAAGAGAAAAGACAGACATTTCACTTCCATTTATACTTGAAAGGAAGCAACACACTTCGTATCATTATAGATAAAGTGCCATGAGGTAGGCAAATTAAGTCTGAGGAAATGTAGTCACACTCTGACCTTCTGATGCACACACATCTCATCATGTTCAACCAGGCGTTGATTTCCAAGTTCTTCAGCTGTGAAAAGTGAGTCACTCAACTGCAACCAGGTGTGCTTCCTGGGTGCTCTATCTATATCAGAAGTGAAGGCTCCCATCTAGCAACAGACTGACCCCATCAGTGCTATAGTATCATTTCGTACTAGGCATTAACTCTAAAATTTTAAAAACTGGTTTTGGATATAAAATACAATGATTGTTGCAAAGTAAATGTAATAAAAAATGTCAGAGACAATGTTCTTGGTTGTGATCTACCACTGAGATATTTCTGTCAAATAAAAGGTTGAAGCAACACCAGGAAGGTGAAATCTGTCATTTGCAAGAACAAAGCATTATGTAATATCTTTTTATTTACCATTTCTAACCTGCAGTGCGCAATCAGAGTCTCTCAGCGTGCACAGATCAACCTATCATCAAAGACAGAGCTGAAGAAAATGCATTTTAGCTTCATTCACGGTAAATCTTCAAAAGCTCCATGCCATAACTCTGGAAATGTATCAGCTCAATATCCAAACCTCGCCTAATTGTTTCCCTTGAAGGACATCAATTGAGAGCTTTTACTCTTCTCTCAGTAGCCTTCGTCTCTGCCTCATGCTGACCTCAACATCCTGACCGATAAAACGGTCCCTCACCCTCTGATGCTGATGGAGGACTTTCTGCGCCATAGTACAGGTGTGTGGATGCAAGTACACCTATAAGGTTCATTCTGGGAAACTTTAGTGTTACAATATTAAGCTTTGTAAAGGCAGGAAGGAGAAAGTAGACGGAGGAGTTGCGGGCAGGAAAACTCATCACGGCAGAGTGAGCAAGACATGGTGGAGGATAATGATCATTTTTTGCTATTCCTTGAAGAAACAATGGAGGAATATCATGAGATGTCAGATTCTAGTTTAGGCCTTGAAGCTAAAATCCAGTGGGAAAAGAAATAATCCCCACTTCTATTTAAATGTAAGATTTCAAATCATATGAGAAATACTCTTCTTAATGAGCTGCATTTCATTGGAATGTCAGTACTTTGAACTGATCATGAATATTCAGACTGCAGCCCGCCGAAACTGACCTCACTGAGAAGTGAAATGTTGAAACACCGACGCGTTTGACTGGGCCCTAAAAATCCACCGTAACACATTGTTAGCTGTTGCAAATAAACCAGGCAGCACTGACACGCAAATCAATTGCTGAGTGGACCCTTAAAGCAGTGTGGCTATTCGCTGCAGCCTGGCTGGTTAGGACCCCCAAGACCCATTTAAACTAAATTTTACAAAATAGATTTGTGACTTACATTAGCCTCCCCGGGGAACAACAATCCTCCTCTTTTTTTCCCTCTTGCCATGAAGAAATGATGAATCGATGGTGTCATTAACTGCAGGACAGGGTGATATTCTCGGCTTCAATAACTCACAGATGAAAACAGCTGTGAGCATTATTGCATCGCACAAACGGCAGTTCGCTTGGCTGATGGACAAGGAGCAGCCAGGCTTGAACGTTCGCGAAAATATGAACACAGACTAATAAACCAAATCAATTCTGCCATTTTCATAGAATGACGAGAAAAGCCAACAGCAGCAGTGGAAGTGACAGCATCCCGTTCAAATATCAGACAACAAAAATTAAGAGAAAAGACATGATTAGAGTTAAGTTAAGGGACACAATGTATGCAATTTTATTTTGCAATACATGTTGGTATTGAAAGTTGATTAATTAGTCGTTGATCTACTGAAAATTAATCTGCAAATATAATAATTGATTAGTCATCAAGTCATTTATATTTACATTTAAAACAAGCAGATTTGAACACATCACATTGGGGTTTAGATTTTATCCCAAAACGAATTAAGTAAATAATGGCTGATGACAGTTAGTAAGTAATCTGCATATTGTTTAATTATCTACTTGGTCTATGAAAAAGGCCCATTTTAATTCCATCGATTCACACAGCTGTCTCGTTTGCTTCGTGCAAACAATAGTCTAAAACTGAAAGATAAAAACGTTATCTTCACAAAGGTGAATGCTTGGTGAGTAGAATATGCAGACACGAATGGCACATCATTGCAATGAATTAATTAATAATGTATATCCATAACAAAGTTCTGCTCAATGATCGGCCACACTGCCCATAATAGCCAACTGGACTTACAGACATTCAAATAGTAAATGTCACAGTATAAAGTGATCACCAAACCCCAGTTTCCAACAATGCATTAAAATAGTTATTAAAATAATGCATTGTCACAATCAGCACACCGGATTATTTCTAAGTCTAGCTTTTACAAAACATAGGAGATAAACTATGTTGCACACTGCAGAACCCAGAACCTCCATATTTAAAAGTAAATTGAATTTTCCTCAGTGCACTGGCAAATTACTGTTTCCAATTACTTATTGTATATCCCCGTCTTGATTTACTGCAAAGAGAATTGAGCTTGCGTTATCGTTTGTTTATTTGCAGGCTTCTGTGCAAAATAGGAAATTTCTCCCTCCGAGCTTCTTATCGATGTTTGGAGTCCGAGGGAGAGCACTCGGCATGTGGGACCGCTCATGCACCCACATACATACCTCGTAAAGTAAGGCAGCTTAAGAACCTTGCTGCTCAGGCACAACACTTGCCATGCATACATTTGGGAGAGGAGGAAGGTAATGAGTGAAATTACTTTGCTAAACGAAGGGGCCCGGTGCTCTGCAGTGTAGAACTGTGCAGCGGCGACCTCGGGGGGGCCCTGCACCTCATTCAGTTCCCTTTCTCTCTGCTGATGGGCAGGATTCAGCCGGGAGGTTATCAGTCAGGTTAAACGGGGGCTACCGCTGACTAGTGGGTTAAAGGTTGAGCGTTAGTGACAATGGGCTGATATGGAGAGAGAGAAGAGTAGTCATACAAAATAAGTTGTTTTTTCAAAAGTCACATTACCATAATTACCCAGAAATATTAAAACATTATTTCCATTGATGAGCTGATTGCAGATTGCAAACAGCAGACAGGGGAAATAAGCCAATTAAAACTGATGTAACGAGGGGAGTAATGCAATCATTGGCTTTCTCTAAAGGCGAACGTTCCGTGGTTCTGATTTAAACGGCTACATTAGTGTTTTAAACACAGCTGCACAAGACGGATGGAATCTTCAGCGGGCAAGTTAATTGCTGTTGGCCATGAAGACACATGATTCATCAACACGGATGTAGATAACATGACACAATGGACAGAGGACTAATACATGGGGTGTCCAAATCAATCAACCCTGGTCTCAAGCACGTTACAAGAAGTCAGAGTGAACCGCGTGCGTGCAAGTGGAGAGACTGTAGAACTTAATCATGTTCCTCTTGAAAGCTAAATAATGACTAATGGCGAATTACTTAAAACATTAAGCTTTAAAGAATGTTCAAGAGAAACTCCACCAGTGATTATGTTAACAGGAGCATATTTCCTCCCTTGGCCGCTTCAAAGTGAAGCCTTCGGTGGTGGATTTATATTCCGGCTCACGGGGCTGCAGGGTTAACGTGCGGCCAGTCGTACCATGCATGTGTGTGTGTGTGTTCGTTTTTTTCTTTCAATCAGGGTCTGATCCAAGTGCCTCCAGATGCTGGTGCCATTTGCTCTCCTGCCAATCAAAGTCCACGGCAGGATGCCAGTCCCGGAGAGGCCCGGGTTTTAAAGGCGGCTTACCTGTATCTCCGTATTAGCGGATACACACTGTGCTCTCCGCCTGTAGCAGTTCAGTCACACAAGGCAGAGCACCATCTATCAGTTGTGAGCGATAGGCACAAAATACTCCAGTTTAAATGCAGTACCAGTCCAACGTTTGGATAACCCCCAATTGAATGAAATGTGTGCATTCCTCACTTCCTGTGACTCTATAGTGGCTTTTTACATACCATCCAAATGACTTGAAACCATCTAAAAAAATGTGTCCAAATACTCGAGATTTGGCTGTTCAATTCGCCCCTTTTTATTTATTTTTTGATTTGGACTCTCTGGCAATCAGAAATCGAATTTGCACGAGAAACAGTGAGGATGTGGAAATACACTCCCGGTGCGGGATCAGTGAAGGCTGCTTGTAGGATTTAAATCCTTTTGTGGAACCTTGCATTTCCAGCCTATCAGTGGACCCCGACTGGCTCTGGCTTGGAAGGTCATGAGAGTCTGGCAGTGAGATTTACAGCATCCCTCACCCGGACCTGGGCGCTTCCCGAGGCTGTGGATTTACAGCCTAACGTGCCAGATTTTTCCAAATACTCAAATAAAAACGAGAGAATTGTTTCAAATCTTATCAGGCTTTTTCCGGGGAACTTGTTCTCCATACAACGTGCGCATTTGAAACAAGACACAGCACTGCACATGTATCATTGTAGAGGTCAAACAAGCTTCTGCAGAGATAATAGTTTTTTTTTTTCAAAAGGACTGCCATTAAATTAAGTGTCTGCAGGTAAGGCACCTCTCACATCGTAGGTTAATGGAAATCACACCAACAGAACACGTCAGCAGCTACTCGGCCGGTGTCTTCTGTAGTTTTTGACTAATGATCCCCGTAGTGCAACAAAGGTGAGAGAAGAAAAACAAAGTGGAGGGATACTGAATCATCTTTGACTTTACATCCATGATTGCCAAGTGAATGCCACTTAATTACAGCACATTAGTCAAACACAGGTACACCTACTGTACACTCATTTTTCTGAAAATCCATCTTCAGAAAATATTTTAGATTTCACGGCAAGCAATAAATAAAAAGAGAAATCCAAGAAAATGCAAGAGGGCAGTAAACGGCCGTCATGTGCGTCATGGAGAACTGTGTCCGTCCCAATTGCATTGCTGATTCTGGCACAGATTAGCATAGCCTGTAAAGAATTGCTGATATCACTAAAACAGGCTATACTAATTAAAGCCAGAATCATCAATTCACATCTTCGGAGACCTTGAACTTGATCTAAGCAAAGCTAAAGTTGGAAACAAATCAAACGTTAGCATCAGAGAGTGAGTAGATGAATGGGAGATGAAAGAAAAGAGGAACTGGACGATTTTTCTGAATGAAATTGTAAAGAATTGCACTTTTAATTGTGAGGTAAACTTACCAACATATGTTCATTACATACTACACAAAAAATCTGTTTCCGTCCTATAAAGGGGAAAAGGAAATGATTCACTCAATCAAGCTGATTGTCGGAGATACGTCAGTTTGAGTGTTGAACACATGGTGCATTTCAGTTCGGAGCAGCACAGCAGCAGAGGAGGGGTCCGCAGTCCCCCCGTTCTATAAGCAGTTTGTATCACACGCAAGCCGAGTCTGGGATTTTACACACCGCTCACAATGCATCACACCAGCTAGTGAATAATAGCCTGCCTATAATGGATGGCCTGGTGAAAGAGAGATGAAGACAGCGCAGGAAAGAAAAGGATGAACAACCAGGGAGAGAGTTCAGAAGGTACAAAATGACAGAAAACCCATTTCCAGTTTTGAGATAAAGGAAATATACCGTTCATTCTGTTTCATCTTAAGAAAAAAAACAGGTGAAGTGAAAATATTGCAGAATTTCCAACAAAAAGGAATACAAAGATGAGTCAAATGCATCACCAAAGTAGTTGTTTCACTGCCTCTGACTCTCAGACTTATTTGTCAAAGCCGATGAAGTTCCTCATTTTTGGTTTGCGCTTTGAAACCTTTGTGAATAAAGCATCAAGAGGGTTTGTCAGAATAGTCCAACAAAAAATCTGCTCTGCTCAGAGGTCTCAATCCTTCACAGGATTTCTATGGCTCAGCTTATGTAAAAGCTGTAATAATGCATCATGATAATGAACCAGACCTAAGATACAGCGTTCGGCAGATGCAGTTTACCGATTCATCACTGTGCCATTATGACAAAAGCTGTGATTTCTAACTTTGTCTTTGAAAAGAAAAAATTCCTGCACGGTTGTGTAAACCAAATAACCAAACTAGCATGACTGAGGGCCAAAAGAAGAAAGGAAGAATGTGTGTATGCTCATTTTCAAAGTTATGTGTGTATCATTTAATTCATTTTAGAGACGCTGGAAAAAGAAATCACGTATGGAAAGATGGGGAAACATGCCTGGCTGAAACATTTTCCATTCAAGCGATTTTCTCATTTGATCCTTCACCACAGAATTGATGTTATGACTACAATGGAAAAAACAATTCAAATACATCAAAAATACGTTTCAGGCCCTTGTCCTCTTAATTTGTGTATCTTAGGCATGCTTAGTCCAGGCCTAAACGTGACCGTGCCTGTTGCTCAGCAATCAATGTTTGCCATGCTCACCATCCTAGTTAGCACGATACCATGTGTTGATATGCACTACACACGAGGTACAAGTAGTGGACATACGGTACAAAGGTCTTTGATATGATGGAGGCACTTAAGGGGAGGATGAATGCGTGAAACAAATTAGAGATGTTGACCCATTTAACTCAAAATCCAAATTGTAAACATCGTGGTGCTGCAAGGACAAAAAGTCGAAGGGGTTAATTAGGATATTTAGACCAACCAGCGCTGGCGTCCCTAAAGGCAACGCCACTCCAATCCAGCAGCACTTAAATGGGATGTAGTCATTCTGAGGTTGATTAACAGGCCCGACTGCAGTCTTTCTAATAAATGGACGGCTTTAAAATGTTTTTCTAGATGTAACTTTCAGATTTGTTTTGTGCTTGTACTTAACTTTGATCCATTAGGACTATTCTGCAAATGAAATGGGTAGTTTCCCATTTTTTATCGAGATGCAAAAACTCTGGTATGTTTTGTTTCTAAATGAAGTTGCAAGTTAAGAAGTATTGTAAATTTGCTAAATCAATATTAGCCAACCAAATGCAATGTGTAACAATTTAAATTCCTGTAGGGTCTTGTGAGGGGGAGATAGCATATAGAATTATTACATATTAAGACACAGTGCCGTACTCACCACCACATTCTAAGGCTGCAGAATAACATGTCTATGGGTTGACTTGATGAGAGTTGCACGAATCGAAAATCCACCAAATAAAATATCGAATCATTCCACAGGAGGAAAATTGGGAAATGTATTCCGGAGGCTCTCTAGCAGCCATGGTACTGTGTTCTGACAGCTGAAGTAGGAAGGACAATATCCAGTGGAGGGAGGAATGGAGAAAAATAGGAGGAGGAGAAATAAAAGTAAAGTATGTAAAAATATGTATTAGGACACTGAGCCTCATTTCTAAATAAAAGCTGAAACCAGATTCACATTTAAGATCTGCCAAGCAGCAATGACAAAAAAGAAAAACAAGGAAATCCTACCTCACTAGATTTTAGGAAAACATGACGGTTTGGTGATACATTTGGTATGTTTCATGTGGCTAATGCAATCATATGAGAGTTAGAAATATCAAAGTTGTATTCTTTGTATGAGTAGTACGGTTCTGCAGGGTGCACAGCAGCGAGGGGTGTAGAGCGATCAACAAGGTGATAGAGAGGTTAAAAGAAGACCCTGTAAACCAAAGGCAAAGGAGATTAGTGGTGAACATAGGGCAGGGTTTTTGTAGGAGGTAAACATCACAGGTAAGAAAGACTGTGGAACAAACCCTTTTGATAGAAAGGAAAGAAATTTCATTTCATTTCTGGAATTACCCCTGAAAAAAGCAGACATGGGGGAGTCCAGTGGAGGGACTTGGCTTGAAGGTGGTGCAACATGGAAAGAAACCAAATGCATGTGCCAACATGCCCCTTCCCTCAAACCACAGTGGACGGGTGAGTGGGGCAAGGTGACAAAAACACCAGATAACACTGGAGGTAATAGGAATAGAAAAGACTACAAACTATTTAAAGCACCTGTGCAATCGCCGCTGACATCTACAGTATCACTTTCTCCAGCATACTTCAGCAAGAATGATTCTGCATTCGTTTTTGACACGAGGGCACCTGTAGGCTGTGAGTCCAGAATAAGAAGTCATCAGAAACAATCTCACCGCTGTGTGTCTGCAGTGTTGCATCTGCGGTTCATTCACTTTCCTTAACACCCACGAGTTCTTCAATCTGTCCCCAGAGGCGTTGACTGGAACCCACAGGGACGTTCCAGCCAAGCACCCCGGTGTTCGTGAAGTTCATCACTGTCGCCTCGAGCAACTATTACATGTGACACATGCGCACGGCTCCACTCTGTAAGGAGCGGAAAGGCTGCCTGGCCAACAGGGAAACGCCCACCTCATAAATGTATGGGTTCTTTTTTTAGGTATAACACTATCCAGAGTGTTTTACATCACATAACAACTTGAGGTTTGGACAGAGCACTACAGCTGTATGCATCCATACTCTGAAAATATAATCATGTTTTATATTTGTTCAATTTCACAAATGCTGGATGCCCAACTTGTAATATACAACAGCCTTGTTCACTTTTTATACAAGTGTCTACCGATCAAAAGTGGGCCTTGAATGACTAAAAGGTTGAGAACCCCAGATTGAATAAAGGTACCGATCATTCCATCAAAGAATCAAATAATAGAACATAATATAATATCAATACCTTTTTTTAAAAGGTATCCTTACAACCTAAAACTAGGGCATGAGTTAAAATATAAATACAACATAAACATGACGTTTCAAGCTGGGGATGTTAATCCTAACAACTTCGGCAATTCTACTTTTAATTCCTAAAAAGTGACCTAACTAACTGGCAAATCCCAGCCCAGTGTTGCAAACTCTTCTCCATGTAAAGTGGAGTTTTATAAATCCTGCACGAAAGTCGGCAAATTGGCAAGAGTGACAGCCCGCTCCTTCAAGCATAATTAATGAACATTCTCCACCAGCCTCGACCTCAATCACATTGATTCATGTTAAATACTTGTTACCGCAGTCAGAACCTTTGTAACCATCGTAACACATCGTACAGCCGTCAAAATATTACTGTTGGAAAACTACATGTTGATTAATGGACAAGAGAACAACAGAGTTAAACCAAAAATGAGCCGCGGTCTATTTAACAAAAAAAAATACTATACAGAGCAAAGCACTACAGGAAGTTACAGTGGACAAAATATCTTTAGGACAATTCCAATATACATGAGGTTTCAATAAGTGTTGATTAAGTAAAAAATATGTGGGGGGAAGCATGATGAAATGAAGTGCAGCATAACCTGTTTGAGTATTTTATTATTCAATGTGCTGATGTGTTGCATTTATAAATAAATCAACTATACTAAATATGTAATGACTGTTGGGGATTCAGGGTTCATTGTTAGAACATTCCTTGAAGAGATGCGTTATCTCCAACTGCGTACAAACTTTAAGCTAAAAGTACCATGAGTACTGAGTTTCTTATGCGTCATAAAAACAGTTCAGCAGAGTAAAGTGGACATAATGGACTTATGATATGGAATATCTCATAACTTGGTAAAGGATTATTTTGTAATTGTAAAGTATGAGCCCATGAGAGCTGCAGCTGAATACTTAATAGGTTTGACCAACGTTTGAAGTATCATAATGCAGAAGCCGACTTCCTAATGAAGTCCCACTGGACTGGTCTCAACTATATCGCACCTTTTGATCTCTCAAAAAACTGACCGTCAGTTTAATTCTTACACAAATGGGCCGGATGTGCAGCATGTTACAGTCGCTAGATTATGATGAACACCTCTATAAAAAGAGGAGCAAATGCAAATATTCAATATGTAGTTATGATCATTTCTCAACATTAGAGACTCAAATACAAATACAAACTAAAGCGCTTATTAACTCTCACTTTTAAACTGCTGTTGCGGAATGCAGCCCAAGATCTCTACAAGTTATTCTTAATTTCTGCATGAGATGTGTGCTTCAGAGATACGTTCATTGATTCATAGTGTGATTTAACAGTGACGTCTGCAAAAACACTGCTTTTAAATGATGACGGAAAAAGATATCGCCTTGGACCTCTTCAATTGTGGGATTCAGATAAACACAATTCCTCAAAGCATAACAAACTTTGAATTAATGATAAAAATCTCCCGCCAACCATCGTGAAAGTCCAATAAAAACAGTGTCACCAACAACACATTAGAAGAAGTGTCGGAGACAAACACAGGTAATCACGGCCCAATCACGATGTGACAGAAATGGTTTATCATTTCAGCGCTCGTGCCTCTATGTGCTCGTCCATATCTCGACCGGCCTCCTGTTACCGAGAATTCACGCTGACTGAATTCAATCCATTGCTCGAATGCCTTTTAACCAGCCACGCTGTGCGCAGGGCGACAAAGTGTAAACCCACTGAACTCTGTACAGTGCAACTTCAATTACAACGTACATATGCACCATCTACTTTCCCCCGACAAACGAGCCTCGCCTTCGGCCATTTGGTACGAGTTGTTTTTGTTAATGTTTTTTTTTTTTTGTCTTTTAGTTTCACACAAATTGAATTGGTTACAGCCGCAGGTTCTCCACTCTGATAGGAAGTCCATTATTCCACCCGCCTGCCTGCAACAGGGCAACGGTTCTTATGAAAACCACACGTATGCCATGTTAACGTTATCAAGAGGTCCGTATTTCTCTGCTCGCCTCACCCAATCCTGCACACGTTGCATATTATTAAACATTATCTGTAGTACAGTAAAGTACTGGTGGGAACTTTGGGTAATGTTTCTTTTGTTGGCATAATTACGTTTGTTTATTTTTTTTCAGACATTTTGTAACAGTTACAGATGGTTTGCCCCGGTCTCTAAGGACTGCTTCCGTGAGTGCCTTTGCCCGTGCTAATATCACACTGACAGAAATGGGCATCCAAATTAAGGTCACACATGATTCACCAATGTTTTCACATGGGCAGTTCAGCTTCAGTGATCTGCCCTTCATGGATGAGAAATAAGGTTTTTCTTCACTTAAAATAAGGTTTCAAAATGTGTCATTCTATATTTTTCATATTTTCAATGTAAAGCCTACGGAAATAAATGAAATGAATTGATTAAGTAGTGCAAGTGTAGCCAAAGACTCCTATGTTTCCTAAAAAGTAACAACAATGTGGCATTAGTTGACATTTTCCCCAAATAGTTTTAGGATGCATTTTAGTCTATTTAGAGTAATAATCCCATAACACCTAACTCCCCATTAGAGCACAAAGTAATACTAATATAAAATACACAAAACTAATCCTATTCACTCTTGGCTGTTTACTATAAGCTATGTGGGCGATTATCAACCCTTTTTCAAAATGTAGAATCAGTAGAGTCAGTAGGAAGGAATTTGGGTGGGGCTGCAGGGGGTCTAAATTCTGTGACAGTTCAGACGGAGCTAACTGTGTTTACCTGAGGGGGGGGGGCAGGGAAGGGAGGGAGGGACTTTATCACCCGTATCATCTTGTTCACGTGCACAAGCATGCACTGAAATGGACTTGATGCCGCAACTTTATTCTCTGCTCAGGGATCCAGAACTCAACCACATCATTTCTACTGCAAATAGATGTTTGCAGCTTTGCAACTGCTCTGAATGTTGAACAAAGGACCTTTACGGATCAGTAATTCAGTGCTTCAGGGAAGACAAAATGTCTCATTTCCACGTTTTACTTTTGTCAGGCAGCAGTGACAAATGCCAACAAAAAGAAAGTAGATGATGTACTGCACTCGGTTTTAGTAACCTGACCTGCCAGTTGGCCTGTTACCAAACGGCAACCTCAGGTGCTGAGAAATTAAATAAAAAAATTCAAGTCAAAAGTCCCATATGGCGGGCTCCAAAAAGCAAAACAATCCCCACAGAGCTGCATGTTAAAATGCTCAAATTTACAGCAGAACAGACGTTTAAAGCCTGGTAACAAAATAGCTTTGGCTTACTTTCCTGTTTGGGAATCTTCTTTTTACTCGGCCTTTTGAATTACATTAAGGCTTGAAGTTGGACCTAATTGGGGCAACAAATCGTTGACGACGGGGGGGAGACATGGTGTCACTTGTGAAAACAATGGATTCTCTGTCTTAACTCACCAAATGTTTCGGGGAGGTGAAGCGTCTGGAGGTCACCTTTCAGCGGAGTGCCTCCTGGTTACCATGCTGTCTGCCGGGGGAGCTTGATTATCCTCCTCTGGACGGATCATGGCGTCTGGCAGGCAGACAGGGATCAAGGGGGCAGGGGGAGGAAGAGAGAGAAGGAAATAATGAGTTAAAAAGGACGTGTCCTAATTAGGAAGTGGAACACCTATAGCTCACTTTTTTTTTTTTCGAGCATTGGAGACAGAGGTCATATTCAAACAGGTAAGAAAGAGCATCAATCTTCTGTTCTTCCTCTAAATAGAGCCAAAATTCTTCAGTCGTCAACTAATTTGTACATCTTCTCAAGTGTATTGGTGCCAAATAGCATGTGAGTAATCTACCTTTTTTACATCTGCAGCGGTGTCAGGATCTTTGATCATGCAATATGTTTTAATCAAGGATCTACTTGAGACGTGTAGCTACCATTCCCCGCTGGATAATATCTGTCAAAGGGAAGAATGGCATGTCTTCATGTCTAGGGAAGTGTTCATGCCTTATATAGTCTTGGTCTAGTAGAGTTGCCTGCTACACATAGCTAGATCTCGCCGGGGGCGAAGGAAACAGACCTTATGAGAGCTCATTAAAACAGTCTTCAAGTCCTGCGAGATAAATATGAAATGTACCACCAAAAAATGAGCTTGCCATTAAAAATAATCATAAGTCACGGAGCAGTTCTCAGACTGGAAATGTATTTATATAGAATGGAAGTCATAGTTCGATGGTTGAATAAATGGTTGATGGGTGAGAGAGTGGAGGACGTGCGAGGCAGAGGCTGATATTCTAATAATTCTCAAACGCTTTGAGTGTTGTGAGACAAATGAGCGCGCTACACTCCTCTTTTCGTGTTACACTAACATTGCACCTCAAAAGGTCAATGGAGGAAACGTTTCTCTTTTAATCAGGGTTGGATAAAAACTCGGTATGAGGAAGATTTTCTCTGTGACATTTCTTTAGAAACACTAAAACTACTTTTTAAATTAAAATCTTGAATTGTTTCGTGAATTTCAATAAGATGGGTTACTTCATCTCACTTCTGAAGGCCTCATTGCCGTATCTGCTCCACATTTTAGCCGAGTCTGCAGGGGCTCTCTCAAGTGAGCCATAAAAAGGACTGAACGAGACAATTACCGTTTTTTTTAAGTTTTCCGCTTTAAAGCTGCAACTCGACTTGATCCGAGTCTCAATTTGCATTAAGTACCCTATGAATGAGCGGGTTTTTTTCCTACAATAATTTGTAATGTTAATTATGCAGATAGTGTCAATGTCAAAGTCTCACTCCTTTAAAGTAACAGATAAGAGGTCAAGAATTATATAAACTTTACCTCTCATTTGTATAGTTAATTAAGCCTGTAGAGACAAATCTCTAAATGCTTGTTTACGAAAAGCAACTTGTGTTTAATGTGGATATAAGATTACACACACACACACACAGACGGAAAGTTGTATTCGTGGATTCGGAGGCAGTTGAATCTCAGCAGACGACGGCTCCTAAACGCTTATGATGAGGTAATGCAGAGTTAAAGTTGTGTGTATGTTCTTGCATTGATGCTTTGTTTAGAATACGTTTAAATACGGTAGTTTTAGGGGGATTGCGTTAAACCAGTCGATGCATCAAGGTGTACAGACGGAAACCACAGCGGCGACGGCTTAAACACGATCGGTTAGATTTGAAGAAACCTCGTGGCACTTTCACACAGAGCACCACTTCTCTCTTCATCCTAAATCGAGCCCCTTATCTCACCAAGTTTCGGTCCAATATAAATCTACAAGGAAAGGCCGTCAAATGTATTGGCCGTAAGTACATCAATATCGGCTTCCACTGAGTGTTTATCCTTCGCTGTGAAAGCAGCAACGCAGGAATGACTGCAGAGAGAAACTGCACTTGATTAATGTCTATGGCGTTTCGTGTTATATGACTCAAACACCCGGTGTGGGCTTGATTTCAAAGCTCTGTTCTGGCCGTGATAAAACTGGGGCTCAAAACGCCATTAAACGCTTAGGAAAAAGGAGGAAGAATGTTCAGCCAATCTGCCCCTGGTATCAACTTTCAGGCAACATCTTAACCATGAGTCAAATACCTCATCCCATCGTGGTAACTGCAACAAACAAATCAGTATCCAGCCACCTGCGTGTGAGGGCTCCGCAAGAGCCTCCTAAAGAATGGCTTTTCCTCATGAAGTGTTCGTGCAGAGGAGGATGTATTGTCTCCAGCTGTAACGCTGCATACAGGAATGTGTAGGAGCAGCGCGTGTGTGAGAAGAGAGAGGTGTGTGTGTGTGTGTGTGTATGTTTCTCATGGATGAACTGCAGTTCAGATTGAGCCAAGGTCATCCTCTTCCTTATGACATACATGGAGCCAGTCTGAGCCTCTCACTTGGATGCTCTCCATCCGCTCCGATAAGACCAGCTACTTCATGTGCAGCTGACAGACGCTGAGGCTCCGTATTGTGGGGATCTTGTGTCTTTTTATTTCTTTTCTTGAATCGCAGCGAAGAAGACAAATCTCACAAACAGGCCTTTTATATGTCTTTAAATGTAAAAAGGGGCTTCAGCATATAGTTGGATGCCATGTGTCACTACATCTGGGGACACGACTAAAAGAAAGACGTCACTGGTGTACTGTAGAATGATTAACTAGGGTACAAAAAAAAGTAAATGTATGAGCTACTGTAAAGTAGAGGAAACACAGTGGCGACTAATTGTTCCGCTGAAAGGACCTTTCCCGCTTAAACGGTGGACACGGCTATTGTTGATCGCTTCATGCATATTCATTGCGTACTGTCAAAGAGGCCCGAAGCGGCTTAACCCAAATAAAACTGTAACCAGAAATGTCCACGAAAGGACTCAGTCGCCACCCTGAGAGCTGCAGCTTTGCAGACAAAGAAATCCCTCTGGCACAACAGTGAGGACGAATGCGACAGGCCTCGGTTGAGGACGGCAGCTCTAACCGAAGAATACACATGGGTCAGGATGAAAACTGAATAGGTGAGGTGTATGTGCCGTTTATTAAGGATCAGAGAGGCGCCATTTTAAAGCAAATACATGATGACGGCAACGGATTATACGGCGTTTGAGGAAGCAGCAATAATTAACAGCTATATTTGCTGTACTGGGAGGATGGATTGTTGTTTGCAAACAGTGACACGCCATTCTGCAATTAGAATAAACTGATGGGGTTCTGAATCCAGATTGCACTTAGCTGACCGCACATGACTCTCATATGATACACACCGAACAGAACTATGTAAATAAACCACAAACTTAGTTTTCCTCATTAAACGTTCCCGCTTTCAAATATTCTTAAATGTGTTTGTGAGCCATCTGCTAGAACATAGACACACACACACACACACACACACACACACACATTGCCCCAGTGGTCCCCCAAAAGGGCTGAATCGAAAAACTTCAACCACATGGCCAAACTGTCGGCGAGCTTCAGTGACGCGGAGAGGATCAGTACCGCGATGCTCCCTGTTAAATGAGCCTGAGCCCACGCAGGAGGACCCATTGGCAGGAAATGAGACCCAAGCGATTGGGAAACAGATAGAAGAGAGGCAGCCACCATGAAGCCCATGAGGCCGCAAAGGAAAGAAAGAGATGACGGGGGGGCAAAAAGGAGACGCAGTGGGTGAGGTGGGGGTTGAAAGGACGGTAAAAAGAACTATGGAACAGGAGTTTTAAAAGCTCAGGATACAATAGAGAAATGTTCTAGTTAAAGTGAGTAAACTGTGGTCCACATTTGTCGAGGTATACGAGCAAAAAGTACAACTTTGAACCATGACATGGAGAACTGTCAGTACAGAACGTCTCCCCTCCAGGACGTAAAAACATTAAAAGCCATCTGTAACATTTTTATCTAATGTTTCATTAAGTCATCTTTCTCTCTGACAGGACACGAGAGAACTAACGCGAGGCCTTGAAAACGTGCCAGAAGCGAAACATTCCCGCGCTCGTTTGTGAAAAGGCATCTTTCTAAAGCGCTTCGCCGAGGGAACACATTTCCGCCATCACAGTCAATTTACAAGACGGATTCAAGATTCATTCAATCAGACGTTTCAGACATTACCTCTTACGGTGGAGCGGGTCTTTTTTGACATTACGACAAACTCCTCCAGTCTGAGACAGTCGTGGGGCCCTTCAGAGGCAAAATCCTTGATCGGAATAAAAATAGAAGGCTCAAACAAGGGAAACGAGAGAGAGAGCGTTTTTTTTATATTTCTATTGACGGTCGCTGCCTCTCTTCATTCACACTCAGCCAACGCGGCCGCTCTGTCGCTGGCGAGAAAGAGGAGGCGGTTTCCTTTATGCTGTGTTTAGTAATTGACAACGTGACTTCGTCCTTTTCTTCAGTTCTACATGGGAATCCAGATTCAATTGATACGGTCAAAAAGGAAAGATTTGGCTGTACATGATACCGACGTTGAAACGAGAGCCGATTGCGTGCCCAATAACCGGCACCCGGTAATACCTGCTGGGTGGAGACAGCGTCAAGGCCACGCAAATAAAACCTTTTTGTCATCTGGGCGAGTGACACATTGCCATAATAATGAATCTCCTGTATTGAATTGGAGCATGCAAAAACACACAGAGATGTGTGTATCTGAAGCGGATATGAAAGCTTTGTATAAATCTCTGTATGCTGCACGAGGGTTCGGCAGTTTACTTAAAGCAGCCACACTCCGCTTGAAGAGAAACGTAGATGTCAGGGTATAATGTAGTTGCTTCATTTCCTCGGTCCAGGTAAGAGGCACAGCTGTTGTTCGGTACTCTCAAGAGATAATGGAGATTAAGAGAGATGTATGATGATCAAAAATAGCAAACAGAAGTCAAACCTTGCAGAATATATCTCAGGATTTGGCCACTTCACTGTAAATTACCAACCAAATAAGTGTTCGTACCCCAGGATACTTCACACCACTGCCAAATTTGACATCTGCCTCATGTCTGCCGCCATTGACAGCCTATTGATCCCGCTGAAAGTAGACAGTGTCAGATAATGACAGATCGGAGCAGACGCATCAAATTACTGTCAAATGAATTGACATTAAATGGACAGGTTGATGGTAA